CTCTTCAGCCCTCTGACTAATACTTTTATTAACTCCACACCTTCTCCTAATTTCCACACACTGAATTTTCTGCATAATATTTACACCACACATTGCCCTTAGACAGGACATCTCCACTGCCTCCAACTGTCTCCTCACTGCTGCATTCACAACCCAAGCTTCACACCCATATAAGAGCGTTGGTACTACTATACTTTCATACATTCCCTTCTTTGCCTCCATAGATAACGTTTTTTGACTCCACATGTACCTCAACGCACCACTCTCCTTTTTTCCCTCATCAATTCTATGATTAACCTCATCCTTCATAAATCCATCCGCCGACACGTCAACTCCCAAGTATCTGAAAACATTCACCTCTTCCATACTCCTCCTCCCCAATTTGATATCCAATTTTTCTTTATCTAAATCATTTGATACCCTCATCACCTTAGTCTTGTCTATGTTCACTTTCAACTTTCTACCTTTACACACACTCCCAAACTCGTCCACTAACCTTGGCATTTTTCTTTAGAATCTCCCATAAGCACAGTATCATCAGCAAAAAGTAACTGTCAATTCCCATTTTGTATGAAATGAATATGATATGAAAGGAAAATAATAAGAACTATTAAGAAAAACCAAAGAAAAGTTGGGCGAGTTTGTATACATAAATGTGGATATACATGTGTAGTGAGACCTAATTGTGAGTAAAAGTAGCAAGATGTACCTGTTATCTTATGTGTTTGAGATGACAAGAAAACATCAACACTCTTACCATCATGTAAAATTAAAAAATCTGCAATGTAAATTGTCAAAAACTTTAATAATGTCAACTATTTAAGAAAAAAAAAATTGTATGTATATCTTTTTAAAGGTATCCTGCCTTGTCTCCAATTTTTGTCCTAAGTTGTTTATTCCACCTACTGCATTTTCACATACAGCCTCATTTTTCTGGAACCTAACTTGAACAAAAGGTGGTTGTCTACTGTACGAAAAGTGGAAGGAATGGTAGAGGATAAGCCAGGACTATAGAGATAACCCTGAGCTGCTTTAATATTAGCCTGATTCTCTGAAGGTTATTAGTTTTCCAAATTGAGATTTTTTTTTTTTTTTTGTTACTGCTCTGATACTGTAGCTTTTACATAATTGTTGGATGGAAATAGAGCACCCATGGTATCACACTGGACTGGAGATTTTAAGAACATAAAGAAGGAACACTGCAGCAGGCCTAATGACCCATGTAAAGCAGGTCCATGTCCCCCCCTGGATTAACCCAACGACCCACCTAATTAGGTCACTTCCACTTAAGGAAGGAGCACTGCATCAGACCTAGTAGCACAAGCTAGTCAGGTCCAACTCACACCCACCCACACCCACTCATGTATTTATCTAACCTATTTTTAAAACTACGCAACATTTTAGCCTCTATAATTGTACTCGGGAGTTTGTTCCACTCATCCACAACTCTATTACTAAACCAGTGCTTTCCTATATCCTTCCTGAATCTGAATTTTTCCAATTTGAAACCACTGCTGCGAGTCCTGTCTTCGCGGAAAATTTTCAGCACTGTTTAAATCCTTTTTATTTATTCCTGTTTTCCATTTATACACCTCGATCATATCCCCCCTAATTCTGCGCCTTTAGAGAGAGTGCAGATTCAGGGCCCTCAGTCTATCCTCATAGGGAAGATTTCTGATACATGGGATCATCTTTGTCATCCTCCTCCTCTATGTTTTCCAGAGCATTTATATCCGTTCTGTAATACGGTGACCAGAACTGCATGGCATAATCCAAATGAGGCCTAACCTAGGATATATAGAGTTGAAGAACAACCTGAGGACCTCTATTATTTATACTTCTAGATATGAAGCCAAGGATTCTGTTAGCTTTATTGTGAACACTAATGCACTGTTGCCTTGGTTTTAGATTACTGCTTACCAGAACTCCTAAATCCTTTTCGCAATCAGCAGTATTAAGATCTACATTATTTAGTTTATATGTGGCATGGTTATTTTCCTGTCCAACATTTAGAACTTTGCATTTGTCTATATTAAACTGCATCTGCCATTTCTCCGACTATTGCATCAGTCTATTCAAATCATCCTGAAGTGCTCTATGATCCTCATTAGAGTGAATTGAACGGCCTATTTTAGTGTCATCAGCAAATTTGCTTATGTCACTATTTTTTCCCTTATCTATGTCATTTATGTAAATTGTGAACAACAAACTGACCCCTGTGGAACACCGCTTGTGACGTGCCCCCATTCTGATTTTTCCCCATTTATGCAAACACACTGCTGCCTATTTGTCAGCCATGCCTCTACCCAGGAAAAAATTTATCCTCCTATTCCATTTGCCTTAAGTTTCCTCAATAGCCTCTGATGTAGAACTTGTTTGAAATGAAGTGCAAATGATTAGTGGCAAAATGTCCTCATGAGGAATAGTGATGTTATATTCTGAGTGCCACAAGGATTGGTACTTGGTTTGATGTTCTAATTTATATAAATTAATACAGCAGGCATGTGGAGACAAATGCTTTTTAGGACTTGTTGAGCTGTTGGAGATTGAGAAGATTCAGGGAAACCGGTTAGCTGGACTTGAGTCCTGAAGGTGGGAAATATCCCTGAAGGTGTCAAATATCCCAAGCCCCTCTAAAGATGGGCTTCGGATATTTGCTGTATAGAGTGACATCTAAACTCTTGTATCTGCCCACCTCTGGCAAGAAACTGTTTCTTTTTCGTGTTGCCCTGCCTCGGTGAGAGATGGCCAGTGTGTTAAAAAAAATAATAATTTGGGATTCTGTTATTCCTGAGTATCTGTTTTTCAAAGAAATTCTAAAGCACTCTAATGCAAAACCTTAAATTCAAGAACAACACTGAAGCAATACTAAAGTTTACTGTATATTCAAGAATGACAGCTTGATCAGAAGGATCATAAGCTCAAGAAAAGATATTTTCTACCAAGATTTGAAAGCATAACTAGATTCCTAACTTAGCAGATACTGGCAACCTGTTGAGAAATCTAGTTCAGGTCATCCATCACTAATCTGGCAATCAGTAATCCAGTTCCATCAGTAATCCGGCACTAATTTCAGTTAGCATAATTTCAAATTTCAGGGGTCACCACACCAACCTGCTGCTACTGTTTGGTGGCCCTACTTGTTGCACAAGTTATTCCAATTTATTTTCCTCCATTTATTGTTATAACCTGCTCACTTATATCCCTGTTCATGGTTCCTACACATAAAAGAAATGCTTGTTATGTAAAGCACATACACCATACGTTGTCCATAAAAGACAAGGTGGCTTTGAAGCCACTATTGGTCGCTATGAGCTCAGCTCACTCAGATAAGATGTGACTGCTAAATTTGGGTCTACATATGAGAGAATAGGTTTGTGTGGCAAGTGTACACTACAAAAAAAAGTAGTGCAGCGCGCAGTTTACATTGAAAAAAAAACTGCGACTGTGTGTTTGGTGTAAAATGGCGACTGTGGTGTGTATTTTTGTATGTTGTATTCTCATGTTTTTTGATCTCATTTGATGGAAGATATATTACAGAAATAGATATGATTGTGATTGGTTACACAGGAAAGTACCTTGATATTGAGCTCAAAGTAGCAGAAATATTTGATTTTTGCCGATGTTCAGGAGTAAACAAATGGCGTCATCGTCCCATACATGTTCAGCTGGCTGGTCTGATACGTGGTCACGAATGGGTTGATACTATTTATACAATTATTACAATAAGGCAGTAGTCTGCATAATAATAAATCTTCTATTTTTTGTGTGAATAAATGCAAAATGGAAATCAAGTACATACATAAGAGGGGCCTGGAGACACGACTGATCAACAGAGAAAATGTTATTTTAGTGCCAGGAATGTCTGCATTGTTGATTCTGGACTCTATTTTGAAATTGGCATGTCTTGAAATTTGTTTGAAATTTGCCAAATTAACTATTTTTGACTACTTTATTGGGTAGTTGAAATAGATAAATGGGTGGTTTCTTGTACTCGGTTGACAGAATAAAAGGAATACTAGTGAAATAACTATGAGTTTGGTAGACTGGAACAATGGAATTGGCCAAAGAGTGGGCGAAATCGCCGATGCATAAATATCACTGTTGGGCTAACCTAACCTAACCTAACCACTCTGTAATCTGGCAAAGTCACTAATCCGGCACCTTACAGGTCCCGATGATGCCCGATTAGTGGTGGTCAGCCTGTAGCTACGTAAGAAAAGGCAAATTGTAGGAACATTCCTGAGCCCTGAATTTTGCTTGTAAAGAGTTATCCCTGTTTTAAATGAAATTAAACCTCTATGTTTAAAATAGGAAATAAGAGATAAAATTATAGAGAATAAAGGTCATGTTAAAGGAGAGAGAGAGAAATACTGAGTTCTAGAGTATGATAAAAAGATACTATATCAATATCTTGAAGTATTTGAAGTGAACCTGAATCCACCATAGGAAAATAAGATTCATCTCATTGAATACTATATGGAAAAGTAAAGGAGCAACTGTCAGGAAATGTCTTCATCAGAACCAAAACGAAAGTACTAGTGGCCTGGTGGCTGAAGCTCTCGCTTCACATACGGAGGGCCCGGGTTTGATTCCCAACAGGTGGAAGCACTTCGACGCATTTACTTACACCTGCTGTCCTGTTCACCTAACAGCAAATAGGTACCTGGGTGTTAGTCGACTGGTGTGGGTCACATCCTGGGGGACAAAATTGAGGACCCCAATGGAAATAAGTTACAGTCCTCGATGATGCGCTAACTTTCTTGGGTTGTCCTGGGTGGCTAACCCTCCAGGGTTAAAAATCCAAATGAAATCTTGTCTTATTATCCTATTATGATAGAGCACATGCTAGACTAGTTAATTATTGGTTCCTCAAAGTCTTAGTAATTGTTATTCCTCAAAGCTTTGGACGTACATGCAGTACAGTACTACGATATGCTAAGGTTTCACAGTATGTTATTGTTGTTCTAAATAATTTAAAATGTTTCTTTGTTTAACAGTTAAAGTGGAAAGTGAAAAGGAAATAGAGATGGTGCTTGCTGGACATGGACATATTTTTACAAAAATCAAGTTTTCCTTCACTGTTGAAGCTATGACTTTAGCACTGTTCACTGGAGGAGGTGATGCCCATGTAAGTTTGATTCTCTATCGTAATAGTTTCACTAAATGTTACAGTAATCTTGCTGCTATTTTTTTTAATAAAGTAGGTTGATGCATATGTAAATTTTCATGTTTAATATGTTTAATGTAAAATGTAATTATAGTGAAGCTAAAATGATTTAAATTTTAAAACAAAAGTTCACTCTTTTGTATCTCGTGTAAAATTGAAGCTTGTTGATGTTACAGCAATGTTCACAATTTAACTAGCTCCATATATCTTTATTATATGTAATCAACTATACTGTAGCACTGTAATAGCATATAATGTAATATTTATATTAATACAGTAATAATTTACCAGTTATTCTGTTAACTCTGACTGTTTTGATCATATATATACGTCTTAAGAGCCAGTGTTTCTGACGTATTAATGCTCCAAAATTCTAGCGGCTTCAAATCAAGCGGGAGAAAGCTGGTAGGCCCACATGTGAGAGAATGGGTCTGTGTGATCAGTGCGTGCAGTATAAAAAAATCATGCAGCAATCAATACATAATGAGAAAAAATAAACTCTGACTGTGTTTTTGGATTAAAACGCCGAATTTGAGGTGTATTTTCGTGTAGTATTTATGGCTGTGCAGTCATTTTCTTGGTCTCATTTGATAGAATGGAAGAAATATTACAGAAATGGTGATGATTTTGATTAGTTTCACTATGAAAAGGACTTTGAAATTAAGCTCAAAGTAGCAGAAATGTTCAATTTTTTCTGATGTTTAAGTTTAAATAAAAATAAATTACGCCACATGTCCAGTACACGTCAACTGGTGAGCCTAATATTTTTTTCACAAGTGCACTGATATTATTTATACCATTTTTATAATAATGCAGTAGTCTACATAACAGTAAATCTTCTATTTTTTGTGTGAATAAAAATTCAAAATAGAAAGCAAGAGTAATATAAGAGGGGCGTGGAGACATGACTAATCAACAGAGAAAATGTTATTTTAGTGCCAGGAATGTCTGCATTGTTTATTCTGGACCCTGTTTTTAATTTGCATGAAATTGGCCAAATTGCCAATTTCTGACTGCTTTATTGGGCTGTTGAATTCGGTGAATGGACGGCTTCTTGTGCTCAGTCATTAGAACAAGTGGAGTTCTAAAAAAATAGCTATGATTTTAATTGACTGGAACAATGGAATTGTTAGAAAATAGGGCTCAAAGTGGGCGAAATCGCCTATGCGTAAATATCGCCAGGATCACTAACTTCGCAAGACAATAATTCCACAAGTTTTCTATTAATTTCTTACTTTTGGTGTCATTACCATCGGGAAAAAGATTCTCTATTATTTCATAAGAATTTTTTTTTTTCCCCCAAATATTTTGCGACACAGTGAGAGACTTCAGGATTTGGGGTCACGACAGTGAAAGGGTTAAAGTGAACACCACTTTAACCAAGCCTCTTCCATCCCCTACCTTACAAAGCAATTCATTCATCCACCAAAACAAAGGAGGAAATTGGGGAAGCAGACACTTGAATTTATAAGAACATTATATTCAGACATAGTAAAGGATGTCATGTACAAGAAGCAGTTTAGCTTAGCAAGTAACTGAAATCAGGCTGAAAAAAAAAAAAACGTAAATGAGGTGATATGAGAGGAAACCTACAAATACAATTGTAAGAATAACACTTAAAAATGTGTGTACACACAAACAACCATGTAATAACACATGATAAATAATTTGAGAGGATAAACAAGACTTCGTACATAATAATGCCCACATGTATTATGTACAAAGTCTCTTGTTTATCCTGTCAAATTATTATTTATCATTTGTTAAATGGTTGTGTGTGTATTCACATTTTTAAATTTCTCATTCTTGTATTGGATTTCTAATTTTCCTCCCATGTCAGTAGGCAGCAGACTTGGACACACACATTATTCGTAAGTTTACGAGAGAGGCAGAATGGTACCCAGTGTGAATTTACGTAAGACAGTTAACCTTTTCAGGGTCTGTGCCGTAGATCTACGGCTTTACTTTGAGGTTCCAAACCGTAGATCTACGCCATGAGCTCATCTCACTCTGATAAGCTGTGAGCAGTAAATTTGGGTCTAGATATGAGAGAATACATCTATGTGGTATGTGTGCACCATATAAAAGAAATCCTGCAGCATGCAATGCATAATGAGAAAAAAACCGAGGCCGTAATTTTTTATTAAAACTGTAACTTTGCGGTGTTTTTTCGTATGTTTTTTATAGTTGTATTTGCGATTTCTTGGTCTCATTTGATAGAATGGAAGATGTAGTACAGAAATAGAGATGATTTTGATTGGTTTTAGTACTGAAAATGGCTTGAAAGCAAGCTCAATGTAGTGGAAATGTTAAATTTTTGCTGATGTTCAAGAGTAAACAAATGACCTCACACGTCTAATACACGCCAGTGGGTGGGTCAGATATACGTTCACAAATGTGCTGATATTATTTATACAATTATTACAATATTGCATGAGAGTAAATCTCTTATTTTTTGGTTTGAATAAAAATCAAAATGGAATTCATTTGTAAAGCCTCAAAACATAACTAATGAACAGAGAAAATGTTAGTTCAGTGCCAGGAATGCCAGCATTGTTTATTCTGGAGCCTATTTTGAAATTGGAATATTTTGAACTTTGCACTAAATTGGCCAAATTACCAATTTCCAATCACTATTTTGTAGTTGAAACAGTTGAATTGGTGATTTCTTGTGTTCAATCAATAGAATAGACGTATTACTAGTGAAATAGCTAAGAATTTGGTCAATTGAAATAAAGTAATTGGCCTAAAATGGGAGTTAGTTGGCAAAATCGCCGATGCGTAAATATCGCTGACACATCAAAATTCGCGAGAGCATAAGTTTGTCAATTTTCCATCGAATTTTGTACTTCTTGTTTTATTACCTTCAGAAAAAGATTCTCTACCATTTCATAAGAAAACACCAAAATTATGTTTTGAAAATTCTTGGACACTGGTGCGCACTTTGAAATTTGGTCTCTGGACCCTGAGAGGGTTAAGTGAATATCAGAAATTTTGCGAGAGGTAACACTACTGGATGATTATTTTGTAAAAAAAAAAAAAAAATGGAAAATATATGAATGTCTTTCTCATGCTTAATAGTGCCATTTTTGTCTCGTCTCTTTACACATTCACTAAATGTGAATGTCAGTTTTGGAAATCCTTAACCCCTAAATGGTCCAAATGTATATATACATTCTTACTGCTACCGCTCCAAACATATGTATATGTTTTATTTTTCCTGCCTCCAAATTTGGCACGATTGGCTTAATTTGCCTGGTCAGCATAGAATGGGTCTTGACACTCGATGTGCACCATATTAAAAAAATCTGGGACCACTTAGTACCTTGTGGGAGTGCCAGATAAATTGAGCGCCAGCTAGAGCAAACAGTGCAACAAACACCAAGGATTCACTGATGTAATGTCATATTAACACTTCCTTTTTAACCCCTCGACTGTCGCAACCCCAAATCCTGAGGTGTCTTTTAGTGTTGCAAAATTTAACCCCTTCAGGGTCCAAGGCCCAAATCTGAAGTGGTGCCCCAGTGTCCAAGAATTTAAAAAAAAAAAATTTGTTATTTTTTCTTATGAAATGGTAGAGAATCTTTTTGTGAAGGTAATAAAACAAAAAGTACGAAATTTGATGGAAAATTGACGAAATTATGCTCTTGCGAATTTTGATGTGTCAGTGATATTTACGAATCGGCGATTTTGCCAACTTTGACTCCCATTTTAGGCCAATTACATTATTCCAGTCAACCAAATTCTTAGCTATTTCACTAGTATTACTTCTATTCTATCGATTGAGCACAAGAAATCGCCAAGTCAACTGTTTCAACTACAAATTAAAGTGATCAGAAATTGTTAATTTGGCCAATTTAACACAGTTCAAAATATTCCAATTTCAAAATAGGGTCCAGAATAAACAATGTAGGTATTCCTGGAACTAAACTAACATTTCCTCTGTTCATTAGTTACGTTTTGAGGCTTTACAAACGAATTCCATTTTGATTTTTTATTCACATATTGAATTTTTATTCACACCAAAAAATAGAAGATTTACTGTTATGCAATACTGTAATAATTGTATAAATATCATCACCATATTTGTGAATGCATATTAGACCCACCAGCTGGCGTGTATTAGATGTGTGAGGTCGTTTGTTTACTCTTGAATATCGGCAAAAATTTAACATTTCTGCTACTTTGAGCTTAGTTTCAAGCCATTTCCAGTGCGAAAACCAATCAAAATCATCTCTATTTCTGTAATATGTCTAACATTCTATCAAATGAGACCAAGAAATCACAAATAGAACTATAAAAAACATAGGAAAAAACACTGCAAAGTTGCTGTTTTAATCAAAAAATCATGATTTCAGTTTTCTCTCTCATTATACACAGCGTGCTGCAGGATCTCTTTTATGTGGTGCACACATATCACATAGATGTATTCTCTTATATCTGGGCCCAAATGTACCACTCACAGTTTATCAGAGTGAGCTGAGCTCATGACGTAGATCTACGGTTTGGACCCTGAACATAAAGCCGTAGATCTAAGGGACGGACCCTCAAAGGGTTAAAAAAAAAAAAATTAGTTTTTCTTATGAAGTGATAGAGAATCTTTTCTCGATTGTAATGACACCAAAAGAACAAAATTTGATGGAAAACTGACAAAATTAGGCTCTAGCGAAGTTAGCGACCTCGGCGGTGTTTACAAATTGGCAATTTCGCCCACTTTGAGCCCTATTTTTGGCTAATTCCATTGTTCCAGTCGACCAAACTCATAGCTATTTCTTTAGAACTCCATTTTTTCTATTGACTGAGTACAAGAAACTGCCCATTTTCCAATTTCAACTACCTAATAATGTGGTCAGAAATTTGCAATTTGGCCAATTTAACAAAAATTAAAAAGTATGCCAATTTCAAAATAGGGTCCAGAATGAACAATGCAGACACTCCTGGCTCTAAAATAACATTTTCTT